CAGAAGTGTAGAATATATATGCATGGATGGATGGAAGGATTGTTGGAGAGAATAGTATATGGATAAACAAATGTGTGGGATAGATGGAATCTAGGATACAAATATGTTTAGGCTACAATAATTTGCTTGGGACAGGTGAACAATAATCAATACTTACTAAGACAGAATCTTCCTTTAGCTTCTTTGTTTCCCTTTGCAATGCCTGGCAATTCTCCTCTCATCTCATTGATTAATGACATTAATCTTGGATAAAACTCTTGACCAGGTAATAAAACTAAAAAGACAAAAATAATGGCATCAACTGTGACATGAGTGGGATACTGTACGCTGTTACAACAAAATCTTTCACAGCCATGTACAGTAGTTTGTGCCTGGGGCGTAAGTTTAATTGCTACATMACTGCATTATATGTATATGTGAGCTGAATTGTAACAGTTTTCAGCACCAGACCTATTGGAATTTGGTGTTTAAAAATATCAAGAACTCTGGYTTTGCATAAGCTTCTGTTCAAATAATTATACATGTACATGATCAAGGTCAGCCTTACCTGATTTATCAAACCAAATACACGCACTGTTTGGTACATGAGCCACCATTGATCGGGACTCTGGTGTTAAAAGTCCATTACAGATAGGTGTTGGAGACCTACTGGATGATCTGTCATCATTTTTTTTGAGCAAAGCATAGTCTATAATACACTCTTGGCAGGTATCCACTATATATCTTATTATTCCTTTATTCATACCAAAATCCCGGCTCCCAATGGTGTACTTTTCTTGAATCTAAATGCAAGAGAAATTCAGAAAAAATATAAATGTATGAGTAAATATTATTATCGTAATGTATTATTAATTTACCCTTTTATCGTAAATGGTGAGAGGCAAGCCTAAAAAAAAACAAGCTTTTGTAACAGCAGATATGAGACTTGTTCAATGGAACAACAGATTTTTCAACCTGTAAGATTGCATTCTTTTTTTTTGTCCGAAATAAGGAACAGAAATGAAAAGAGCATCTYAGCATTATTTGGGAGGCAGAGTTTMAAGTTGTAAGATYGCATTCAAACATTTGAAAATAAATTTATGTGGGTAAAAAACGTTTTTATTCTCATGAGAATAAACATCCAGTTATTGTCCAGTTAATGTAACATGTGTGTCACGTCAACTGGACAATAGAGTCTTGCCCACCTAGCCTCACATTCAAGCCCTTCAAAAAAATTCTCTCTGGAATGTGTTTTTGATTCCAATTTTGAAAATTTATTTAAAAAAATGCTTGATAGCCTTTTTGAAGCTCTCAATTCTGGCCTTATTTTTTAAACTAAATTTCTAAAAGTCTTATGTGAATGTTATGCAAATGATAACTTGGAACATGTTCAGTAGACCCTTGAATAAAACCCTTGAATATTATTGATACCCTGAAACAACCTCTGGGCTGATCAAAGTCAGATCACAGCTGACTCACAGATTAAATAAGAATTTAGAGTCTTATTGTTTTGATAAAGGAGGAAAACCCTTAGAAACCAGAGAAAGCCTTCAAATTTAGGGAAAGACCTATCAATAATATTATTGATACTCTGAAACAACCTCTGGGCTGATCAAAGTTATGTCATTGCTGCCTCACAGTTAAAATTGGAATTTAGTGTCTTATTGTTTTGATAAAGGAGGAAAACCCGGAGAAACCAGAGAAAGCCTTCAAATTGAAGGAGGGACCTAATGAACTTTACTGATACCACTAGACTTTTACTAGTGAGTGGAAAGAAAAACGTTTATATGCGAAAGTAAATATATTAAACCTAAAATAAACTAAGAGTAAATGGTTTGAACCCAGGTGTTGAAGTTTGTTGTGAAGTGTGATCGTCTGGGTGAGTGTAGTCTTGTGAAAGACTGTTGTTGGTGGTGACTGACGCTTCGACAACCAGAACAGAAATCATCTTCAGAGTCCAGTTTTTCTCAAGACTACACACTCACCCGGACGATCACACTAAACTAAAATAAACTATATGTGAGTGCAACCAGGACAAAAAGTGCATGTACAATTTAACAACATTTAGTACTAATAAATAATTATTGCTGGTTTGCAATCATTCCCAAGAGAATGAAATATCAAAAGACATGGCAGCCATGTTGGATGACATGAGACTAATGACGAATCTTTTGTTAAATTCATCCAACATGGTGGCTGTGAAAACTGTCACTAAGTCAATCAATAGCTTTAAACAGCCTGTCACGTGGCCATAGCCTAAATCATTTAATATCGTAAATAAACACATTAAGACCTAAATATACCATAAATTATCACTACTTACAATATTAGCAGTGCTCTTTAAATCCCTGTGTTTACCCCCTTCATTCTCGTGGACTCTCCGTACCGCATTTTCAAACTCCTCCAACGGTATTATGAGTTTCCCGGTTCTTTTGTGCGCCAGCATTTCTTTTTCACTTTCACGGTCGTACGCTACTTCCATCCTACTGGCCCAGTGTTTGAACCTCTCTCGCCTGGTATGACCTCCCCTGGGTTTAGGAAAGCCGAGGGCTTTTAACTCGGGTCCGCTGGGATATTGTATTTTGTCGAGTTTACGTGAACGCACTGAGTTGAGGAACATGTCGTAGAGGACTTTAGGCAAAGGACCTGCATGGTTACGGTGCTTTATCTCATGTTCGTTCGTATCCATGGTATCTGTACTGTTTTCCCATGCCATGTCGAAGTCCATTTTCGCGGGAGGTTATTAGCAAAGGACCTTAAAATTCAAATATTGAGGCCAACGAGAACCATAAACAACTAATCAACTGTTCCCCGCCATTAGGATTGAGCCCACGATGTGAAGTGTCAGCTGTTATGAAATAGAGAGGGACTGGGACTGGAGTACCAGGCCACTAGTGCGGTACGGTTCGCAGTCCGCAGTATTCCTGTTCGGGGCCCGGTTGTACGAAGGGTAGATAGTCGATGCTGTTATATTCAATAAATTTATCAACTGGATAATATTTATCTGTCGGATTCGTGCTACTGGGCCTAGGTGCACTCATGTTCACAGTCCTCCTATAAGGGCTCTTATGCTGGTCCTAATTAAGTAGAATAAATTACTTTATTATTATTATTTTTTATTTTATAATTATTTTATTTTGTTTCGCACTCCAAAACAGCGATAYTTATGCTGCGAGGTTGAGTAGGATCAGTAAGCTTACAGTATCGCGCGTCCTTGTCGCAAGACACTGCAATAGGCTACAGACTGGACGYAGACTTCTTCAACATACATATAACGTCACCTAATCGTACTCGCAGCAGTTCAATTGCCCGGGTTCACTTGTACTCATTTGTACACAATGACTAGCACTAGTTAGCAATGGACATCAGTAATACACCATTGTCAAGCATATATTCAGTATCTTTTTTTTAGTTTTAGTTCATTTTATTTCATATTCTATTATTTTCTATTCATTTTATTTTATTCAGTTCATTTCTAGGCTTGTGACATGTTCACGGGTCCAGTTCTTCAGGGTAGGCAACCAAGATATCTCGCTGCGTCACATATACGGTCAGCGGTTCGGGTAACGATGTCACTTCTCTTCCCCTCATCCCCCTTTGGCTTGAAAATGATAAAAGAGAAAATATTAAGTACAAAACGAAAGAAACGAACGAATGTTATATCTTACTGTCATGAAATCAGGTTGGTACCGAGCAAGTTTCGAATTGGCTGTCGCTAGAATTTACATTTATTTACTGCTCTCAGTCTGACCTCTAGYTCAGCTGGTAGAGCATCGGTAGTACAATTCCGAAGGTCGTGGGTTCGATTCCCAGCGAGGTCGGAAATTAATTTTTCCAAATTTAATTCCAAGGGCTTTCGCCCGGAATAACCTCGTTCCCAAGCACTATAACTTATCATATTTCTAYATCTTCATGTATTTCATAAGTGCTATGCGGTCCACATATTCTCATCAGAAACAGGAAAGAGTATCTTAATGTGTACAAGTACTGTATAACATCAAAGTTTAAAATATATATCACGGCAATATTGGGTTACCTGTGGTGTGCGTTTTCCTGACGACGGTATGTGTTGGCTCAAACCAGTCATGCCTGCCGATACACGTAAAGGCATGATAAGAACAGCCATAACAACACTTGCTACTAGAAGTAATTTGACGTTCATCTTCTCGCCGCGATGATGGGTGCTATCGGATAACAGTGGTATAGTCGAATGGACTGCGTCTTTACGGTCTTTATATRGCTAGGCCATTATTACACGTGGTCCCTATATACATTTCGGCCTCATTTGTGTGCCGGGTAGTCTTTGTCAGTTCCTTATGCAACTTTTTTTCGTCCTTTTCTGGTTGAATCTTGAATTTTTTCTGGTTTTGAGATGTTAGATAGGAGGTCGCGGTACTTAATATTTTAAAAGAAGCCGAAAGAATGCCAAAAACAAGAAACGACTTGAATCTCAGCTTGAATCAAGAATATTTTCGGGTAGTTTTCACTTAACACGAGGAAATGTCAGGCCAATATAGTCGTCATATATTACAGCCTGCTTGGACAGCTAATCAGAACGCACCTGAGCTGATTCTTACAGGATATTGGAATAAAATGTTTTTACATACTTATTAATGATGCCATGAAAAAAAGAAAAATACAATATCGAAAAAAATGAATACCACACAAACTAAAGTGCTTGTAACCCCTAAGTCAATATTTTCGGAATAATTATTCTACATGGAGTGAATCAATATAGAATGGTAAACTTGAATGAGAGAATGAATACAAATCGGATTTTAATCAGCACACYGATAATCGATAACCGCGCGGTCGGACGTCATGCATTTTCTCATATGAACCTGACGACTTAATTCAAGGTCAAAATGACTGGATTTCTTTTTTCTTAATTTYACACATAGAGAGCGCGATAATCAAATGATTACTGTAACATCCAAATAGCGTCATAACAACATGAAAATTTGAACTTAGCTCGAAAMATTGCCTATTTTGCTACAATTTAGCGGTAAAATTTGAGCGTCTGGGACGGAGTTTCAAATTATTAAGGGYAATTAATAAATGAATAATAATAATAAAAATATTCAGTAATGGCTTTTATTTAAACACGATAATAAATTACAGCGTTGCTGATGTGGTCGTGTACAATAATAATGTCACACAATATTTTGGTATGGCGGGGTGGGCGACATATAACTGCTCTTCCACTTCAAAGTTTTCCAAGGCCGAAATCTATAATCATTGTTTACGCTTTGCTGATTAATTTTACTTCAAATAAGATAAGATAACTACAGAATCCAACGCAATATCAGGTTTAGCGAAATTTACTTGGATGTCTTTTATTCAAAACCAAACTTCATGAAGGTCTAACCATTAATCGTAGTTGTTATTATAAAGGTAGCATCTTCTCCTTTGTTATTTTAAGACCCTGAGAGTTGGTCCGGCCTGGAATTAACCACGACCTCCCGCACGAATGCTCAACCAACTGAGCCAACYGGGTGGCGGTTGGAAAATGATACAACTTAAAGCATTCTCGAGAAAATTGCTCTGGATCAGAGTTGCATGCGAAAGCATTACGTCCAAGGTATAAAGGTCTATTATACTGATAGTAGAAATAATACAATTTTATTGTTCTACACAGTTTTTTTCATTCTTTTGACACGCAGAGTCGAAATGCTGATGGCTGAATGCGTTTATCTCTCCCATAGCCCCTTCCCGCCCTCCATTTTCCTTTAGAGCATTCTTTTCGCAAGGGAATGACACGTSGTCTGTAATGGGCAAATAGCCAGATAGGGGGYTAGCTGCTAGGCTGGAGAAGAAACTCCAGTAGATACTTGATTGTGCATGAACTAGGTATAGTCAGCAATAGACATAAAGCTCCATTATAATGCATATATTCAGTTTAATAAATTATATTATTTTCTATTCATATAATTTATTCAGTTCATTTCTAGGCCTGTGACATTTCCATTTCTTCAGGGTAGGCAACCAAGATCTCTCGCTGCGTCACATATACGGTCAGCGGTTCGGGTAACGATGTCACTYCTCTTCMCATCATCCCTCATTGGCTTGAAAATGATAAAAGAGAAAATATTAAGTATGAAATGAACGAAACGAACTAATGTTACACCTTACTGTCATGAAATATGAAATCTTTTTAAAAACGATAGGTTATATATTTGATTATAATATCATSCTTTTCATGGTAATATTATCTTGTATTTGTATTTTCAGAGAAGTGGTGATCATTCGCTCGTTCWCAAGGGTAAAGGCTAATCTATGGTGTATAAGGTTCGTACAGAGCAAGTTGTGAATTGACTGTCAGTATAATTTTATTTGATTTATCAACTGCATACCCTGAARAAAATTCTGCGTTGAGTTGATCAAAGTCAGTGCGACGCTAGTCAAACCCTAAAACAAGCCTCTGGKTTTATCTAAGTCAGGCCTAGGGCCGGCTAACTCACAGAACGAATCCTAAACACCCCTCTGGTTGTTTCAGGGTACATTGATATAACTATACCAGCTGATCGCGGCGCGCAAAGCATGGGTGGACAAAAATTAAGCATTTTTGGAGCTTGAAAGAACGAAGGAAACATGCATGGCGGTAAAATGAAATTGTTTTTATTCTCCCTTCCATATTTCTGCTTCTTGTAGGCACTTATATTTTTGTCAAAATAAAACAGAAAAATACGCAAAAATTTGGGGTACAGTGGCCTGGGAATGAGGGCTGTGATTGGCTTAAACAAATTTAACCGCTCAGCTGGTAAGGTTTGAGCTGTGACGTGCCACTGTTCTGCTAGCACTAAATATTTAAATAAAGTAACCCAGCATAAACGCTAATTCACACATCAGAAACATAAAAGAGTATTCTTATGTGTACAAACTAGTACTGTATCGCAAAAAAATAAATATATTAAATATATATCTAACATAAATATGTATCAAAATTGTATATCACGGCAATGTTGGGTTACCTGTGGTGTGCGTTTTCCTGACGGTATGTGTTGGCTCAAACCAGTCATGCCTGCCGATACACGTAAAGGCATGATAAGAACAGCCAYWACAACACTTGCTACTAGAAGTAATTTGAMGTYCATCTTCTCGCCGCGAYGATGGRTGCTATCSGAYAAMGATCTAACTGCTTTGGTAGATATARAATGGACKGCGTCTTTRCGGTCTTATGGCTAATACATCACTACACATAGCCCTTTTATACACTTTTGCTTAGTAATTTGTAAGAAAAAAAMCTTTGACGGCACCTCAGCAAGCCTGACTTGAGACMATATTATAAAATRATCCGAGCGTCGCCGGTGCCTTTACCTGTCGTATCAAAGGTGATTATTTCTCGACATTTTTACAGAAGGTTTGACAGTGTCAGCAGACTTCTGTCAGGTCCGAAATTAAAAACAAACTAATTTAGTTTTTYTTTTTTTAAACAACGATGCAAATATTGATAGCTTTTTTTATTTCTTAGTATTATTAAAACTTAACATTAAAACCAGTATTATAATTGCATTATAAATATAAAGAAAATATTCAATTGTGTTGCGGAGGCTTTAATCTGCCAAAAAGGGGGTTATTGATTAACCTGACAGTAATTCTCACAGCAACGCAATTGTTTTGAAAGACAGCTCGACCAAATATGAAGTATTTTTCGACTGCACGTTACGTTATCGCGGCCATGTTGGTACCATTTAACWAARKATTTCTCATTAGTATCCATTGTTAACGGTACCACAATGGCCGCCATGTTTTTGTCTTTTAACTTTCTTGGGAATGCTTGAAACCTATCAATTATAATGTTTACGGTCCAGATAATGATCGCTATTTCCGGCTCCTTGGCATTAAAATTTAAACCTTATCATTATTAACTGGTATTTTTATTCAAACATTACGTGGTATCAGTTTATAAGAAGTTAATTTAAGTTTCAATTAAAGTAAATCATTATGACAAGCAATATTAAAGTTATGAAATTTAACCTGCAACATACCGTTTATCATGTGGAGTGAAGTCATTAAACCCGTGAAATAGATATTAGACTAATACACGTTTAAGTAGACCCTAATTCCATTGTCTTCTTTGGTGTATATTTGACTATTACACGTTAACTAGTATTTTTTATTTCAAGGGTTATATGCCTTCACTCTAATATTGGACTTCATTATGAGTTTATTTTTCTTTCTTTCTTTCTTTCTTTCTTTCTTTCTTTCTTTCTTTCTTTTTTTTTCCTTCCGCTAACTTAACCCTGGGATTGAATGGAAATGGAATCACAAGAATCTCGTTAGCGACGAGAAAAAAATTAAAAAATTAAAAAATAAAAATAAAAAGTACTCAAGGGTATACGTCATGCCCAAGTAAAAGGTTAGGATTGTTAAAATCGAAACCTTCGACATGCAAATTCTATCTATACAATATGACCAAAGCAGTCAGGCCCGGCGAACTCGCTCAAAAGTAGCTAGACTCGCATGTTTGGTTTTGTGGAGCCAAAGAAAAAAAAAAAAAAAAAAAAAAAAAAAAAAAAAAAATTTTGKTTTTTGGGRAGAAAAAAAAAAAAAAAAAAAAAAAAGGAAAAGAAACGGAAGAAAAAACCCTAATAATAGGGAAAGACCGCTAGAAAGCTCTACTCACAGTTGATGGCGAGTCCAGGAATCGAAATCTAGACCTCAGAGATGAAAGGTTAGAGGCTACACTACCGCGCCACCCTTCAATTCTATGACTATTAGATGAGCTACTCGTTGATGAACGAACGCCAAGCTTTGACTCATAAGTTGACTCTGTTTGTACTCTAGTTTACACGAACTAGGGGTCAAAGGCTGAAAAAAATACAACTCTAAATCGACTGGAATTTCAATTAAGTGGGGGTACAGGCTAAGATATACACTTATTTCAATAAAAGTAGTCACCAGAAAAGCTACAGAGCTGAGACCGACAAGGATTATGGGTAGATACATTTTACATGTTCTAACCGCTTGATATGATATCTGTTGATGGACTTGAGATCTTCTACCAGTTACAAGTTCATCTCCTCTGAGCATCCTCAGCTGCTGCAGTTTGTGTCAAAAGCTTTACTTGTTGGATATGAAATATTTCCTATGATTGTCAGCGATCACAGCTTTCAAGGTTTTCGGTGACTAACTTCATTGAAATAAGTATATAAAAAAAGTCGAGATAACTTGAAAAGGTACATAGTAGCAAAATACCTAGCACTTTTTATACTCCCAAAATCATTAAGCGCGCGTTAGAAAGTGACGAATACTTATTTCCCTTGATTGTAGGAGGATATATTGTATCGTTATCACTGTTATACTAGGAAATACGCCACTCGTACGGGTATTTTTCATACGACCTACATTGTTGATTCAATTATTGGGTCAGCTCGATCTAACGGGCTTGGATCCAGTGCAAATAATTTTTGGAGCTTAATGCAAAAAACCCCAGTTAAACTTGATAAAAATGTAGGCAATGTTGATACGAGTGAAAAACGTCTACGTATGCTAGCTCCAAA